AAGCAGACTGGTGGTTGCCAGGGGCTGGGGGAAGGGAGGAACTGCTTAATGGGTAGGGGGTTTTCTTATGGAGTGATGAAAATGTTTTGGAACTAGACAGAGGTGGCAGTTGCACAACACTGTGAATGTAATAAATGTCACTGAATTGTTCACTTTAAAATGGTTTAAATGGCTTAAGTTACGTGAATTTGAAAAATTCTCATCTCATTTGAAAAATTAATTGGGGCCGGCCCAGTGGTGCAGCGGTTAAGTTCACACATTCCGCTTCTCAGCGGCCCGGAGTTCACTGGTTCGGATCCCGGGTGCAGACATGGCACCACTTGGCAAAAGCCATGCTGTGGTAGGCGTCCCACGTACAAAGTAGAGGAAGATGGGCATAGATCTTAGCTTAGTGCCAGTCTTCCTCAGCAAAAAGAGGAGGATTGGCAGTAGTTAGCTCAGGGGTAATCTTCCTCAAAAAAAAAAATCAATTAATTTTTAAAACAGAGAATACTAACGGACAAAACAAGATGCACAGGAGAAAAGACAGCCCCTAAGCTTCTAGGGAAAATGTAAGTATTTTTGCTGGCACTCTGCTTCCACTCTTGATGACAACACAAAGCTCAGGTGTTACACTGTATAGACTGCCATCATGCTGTGTGTGTGTGTGTGTCTAAAAAGACAGGGAAGGAACAGAAAGTGCAGAAAACAGAATGGTAAAGCCTTGCCAAATGCAAGGGAAGGAGGGGTGATTCCCCTAACTGCACCCCACCCAACTTGGCACCAGGAGTACCGCTCCCATTAGGGTTTCGACATGCCAGCAGGAGCTGGAATCAGCACAAGCAAGCTCCTCTGCCTGGATCAAAAGCAAGCTACCCAGCAAGAAAAGCTGGGGTGCTCCATTTGCTGCCGGTATTGACATCAGCACTACCCTTTGCTCAAAAGCCGAGAGCTGGCCCAGATCAGCATCAGCGACTTGCTCTCCCAGGCCAGCCAGCATAACAGCAAGAGCTTGTTGTAGCTCAGGTGTGCCCTCCTCCTGAGGGGTCCCTGTCTCCTTCATCCCACCTGCCCTCCAAGAGTCCTACCTCCAACACCATTAAAAATGGGGCCAAGATGCCCTCAGAACTTTCCCCTGTCCAGTCTGAAATAAATATCTTCCCATCCCCTCCGCCCTCAGGCCAGCTCAATAGCCCAAGTACCCCTACCCGCACAGACATACGCCCGGCATGGCTGCCCTGAAGACCTGCTCCACCGGTGCACACAAACGCGCCCCACCTGTCCCAGCTGGGCACCGCTAGCCAGTCACAGTCATCTCAGCCCACCCCACCTAAGTGCCGTCCCAAAGGCCTTCACTCGCTTGGCACCATGCCTCTGCCATCTCCCTGGCACCAACACCGTCACAGGTGTCCCTCAGCTAACCACCGACGCCCCCTTAGATCCTATCCACTCCAGGCATGGGTGTCCCTCACGGGACCCCTCAACTCCCGGCAACAACACTCTTTCGGCCCCCTGCAGCCAGGCAGCGAAGCCATCTCCAGGCCCCTCCAGCCAGGCCTCGACGACCCCCCAAGCCCCCAGCCTGGCCCGGGCGCCCCCTCCCCCTTACCTGCGGGGGTTCAGCCCTGGCTGACAGGGGGCTGGGCAGCGCCTGGAGGAGCAGGAGCGCCATGCCACCCAGGAGCCTTCTCCTCTCCATCCCCCTCCTGCTCCTGCTCCTCCTCCACGGCGCCGCCACCTCCCTCCTCCTCCTCCTCCTCCTCCCTCTCCTGTTCCCTCTTCTTCCTTCTTCCCTTCTTTTCCTGTTTCACTCTCCCCTCCCGCTTCCGGCTCTGCTCCACCCCGCCCCAGCCCAAACACCCTCCCAGACTCTGGGGAGGTTCTCCTGTTCCAGCTCTGCGTTGGTCCTGCCCTTCGTCCATTGATCAAAATAGCCGTCGATCAAATCGAAGTTCCGCCTCCCCCATGAAGACGGAAGACCAGAAGGATCCAGCCAATGAAAAGTAGGAGGAAGCCGGGCCATCTTGAGTGCTGCGGTCGCGTATATGCGTCCCACTCCGCAGAGAGTGGCGGAAGTAACTCTGGTCGGGGGGCGGGGCCACCTAGAATGTGTACAGTATTGAAAAGTCTAATTCGGGTGCAGCCATCTTGAGTGTGGCGGAAGTACTAGATTTCCACAATCAAAGAGAGGAGAGGTTTGGTGATTCTTAAGGGTATTGGCAAATAAGTTATTTTTAGAAGGTAATCGGGCGCTCCTTAAGAAGCAAACTACTGCAATCTAAAAGTCCTTTTTTTGTTTTTTTTGTCTTGAAGCACAGCGGTAGTACGAGAGTCCCTCTCCTGGTCTCAAACTGCCCAAGCAGTAGCTTAGGCCAATTTGAATTCCCTATGAGGCAGTAGCTTTACCTGAGGCAGTGTTTTGTCACCCCAAGTTCCAGGGACAAAATTCTATTGACTCTCTCTCAGAAATGGCTCTGAAATTCACCCCCATTGCTTCAATCCATGTTCTCATCTTCTGGCTGAATACAAATAGTCTCCCCGCTGTCCGGCCACTTGCCAATTCTTCCCTCTCAAATTCCTTTCACACACCACAGCAACGGTACTCTAGTACATAAACCCAAACTTCTCACAGCTTTCTCTCTTTAAATACTTCAACTACCTACAGGACCTATAGTCCAAGCTTCTCAACAGGGTCCTTGCTGTGTCCTGGTCCCTGCATACTTCTCTTTATCTCACCTTCTGCCACCAAATTTTCCCACACATTCTGTTCACACTGAACACGTAAGAGATCTCCACTGTACTGTGCTATAGTAGACATAACTTTCTTTACACATTACACATACAGACCCCTGTGTACAAACTCTTAGTTCCCACCCCCTTGTTTCTTGTTCTGGATTCACATAACTTACAACACAGTGTCTCTAATCTATAATATCTGCCTGGCTGACCCCTCCTACTAAATTTGCTTTTGGTATGGCACACCAGGTCTTATTCATTTTTTAAGAAATCCCTACAACATCCTGCACAGGACCCAACCATGAGCTTAATCTATGTTAGTAAAATAAACAATCAAATGAAGACCCACGGCAGAGAAGCCAGCTGCCTGTAGCTGCCAATTTCCTCTCAAAAACCTGCCAAAGCATTGTACAGCCTGGCCCAGCCTAGCCCATAGCTGAGCCCAGAGGGAATTTGTTCTTGGCTTAAATGGTGGCAAAGTGGGGAAACAGGTAAGAGTGAAGAAGTTGAAGCTTGACAATGTCCATAGTTCTGCCTATCTTAATCCTGTTTTTCCAAGTGCTCCAAAAGGTGTCAAGTATTTTTGCCAATCTCAAGTTTCTTAGAAATTCATCCATCCTACAAATAGTCTCCCTAGAGAGGTAAAGATTGAGTGCTAAGCAAGGGCCCAATTATTTTCATTGCACAGGGTCTCAATCCTGGCCTCAAAGAGTTATAAGTCCTCTATATAAAGGCCAGGTATCATCATCATTAGGAAACCCCAATGGTTTCAATTTGGCAACACAGAAGATTTTGCCCCAACTTCCCTTTCTCCCTTTACCTGAGAGCTCAAACTGTGCTACCGGACAGGACAAACATTAAACCCTGCACAGTCTAGATTAGCACACCCCACACCAAGGCATTTTAGTCACCCTAACCACCTCTTTCCACACCCCACAGGAATCCACTCAAAGAAAGCAGAGGCCTTACAAAATGGAGCTAAGATGCAGTTTGAGTGAAACTTTTAAAACTGCCTCTGAACTGTAGCCAATACATACTTTTCCAAAAGAATAGTCATCTATGAAGAGAGGAGGAACACCAGGAGGCTTAAGGAGCTGGGAAGGAAAGAAGTTGTCCGTTCTTGAAAGAACATCAGTGCGGGATTGCTTCCGAGCTCTGGTAATATTTTTCCTATTTGCCTTTGGAAATGGGCAAAGCTGAAGCCAGACCTCCTAAGAAAGCCAGCTCAAAGACACAGACTTTTCCATTTAGACATCAGCTAAAATCACATTGCACATATTACAGCATGGATGAACTTTGAAAACATTACGCTAAGTGAAAGAAGCTGGACACAGAAAGCCACATACTGTGTGATTCCATTTATATGAAATGTCCAGAATAGGCAAATCTACAGAGACAGAAAGTAGATCAGAGGGGCTGAGGGCGAGGGCCTGGGGCAGGGGGATGAGGAAAATGGGGAGTGACTGCTAATGGGTATGGTTTCTTTTGGGGATAATGAAAATGTTCTAGAATTAAATAGTGATGATGGTTGCACAATTTTGTGAGCATACCAAAACCAAATGAATTGTGTACTTTAGAAGGACGAATCTGTTATATAAATAATAATTTTTAAAAATAGGGAGAAAAAAATCAAATTGCAGCCAGCACCTTGGCCTCAGGGAGGACGCCCTTTCTCTTTAGAGCAGTGGTCCTTCAAGTGCAGCCCCCAGACCAACAGAATCAGCATCACTGGGAAATTACCAGAAATGCAAATTCTCAGGCTCCACTCCAGACCTACATAATTAGAAATTCTGGGGATGGGGCCCTACAATCTGCGTTTTAACACACCCTCCAGGTATCCTGATGCATGTTCTTAAGAACCATCACTTCAGGGGAAACTTTCTATGTAAAAGGCCAGAAAGTAGATATTTTAGGCTTTGCGAGCCACGTACATAGAGTCTCTCTTACATATTCTTCTGTTACATATTTTTCTTTTTTATAACCCTTTAAAAATGTAAAAACCATTCTTAGTTCCCAGGCACAAAAAAACCCCACTGGATTTGGGCCCTTAAGCCGTTGTTTGCCAATTCCTGCTCTGGAGCAATATGGCTCCCGTTCTGGTAGTCCTGTGGAGCATCCAGCAAAGACAGGGGGATTTCTCCTCTGTAATACGGGAAATGAACAATGGCCTCTAGGCATCTGACAGGTTCCCCTTATAGTTGTGATACCCTCCCTCCACACTAAGGCCCAAGTCAGACCAGATCCTGCTTTCCACGCAGGCATTATTAACTCAGTCTGTAAAAGGGTCATTGTGCTCTTTCAAGAAATTTATTTAATTCACAGCGATGTCTTTTGAACAGTCAGTAAATTCTACTAGACAAAACTCATACAGACATTGATCTCAAGTAAGCCATAACAGGCCCGCCCCCGCCCCCAGAGCTTGAGAAATTGCCTATAGAATCCAACCTGGGAAGGGCGAGCAGCTGTGCTTTGCTGTGTGTCCTTTAAGGCTCTTTGGTCCTGGCTGATTTCCTCTTAGCAGTGTCCAAATAAACCTTCCCTTTCCTATTCAGTACACACCAGTCTTTGGTGTTTAACCCAATGGGCTGAGGAAGGGAGGCAGCCTGGAAATCATACCCATTACAATGTGGAGTTAATGCCTACATACATCCTTTTTACTCACAGTTAGTGGATTTATCTTTTAAACACAGAAGTAAAATCAGACATGATTTTAGGGCAGGAGAACAAAGTCAGTGTCAACAGACAGGGTTTGAAGCACCTGAAACTCTGCTGCCTCACACGGAGCTTTTTCAGCATGAAGAACTCCTGCGTGCCTGAGAAACTCAAGTTCAGCAGCTCTCCCAAAGAAGCTTTCGGACTAGGGGGCATGGGGAGGAGAATGAGGAAGAGAGCAGGAGAGCCCCAAGGTGACACAGACCTCTTCCCTAGCCCTTCCTGAGTTAGCTAGAATTGCATGGGTAAGAGGGTCCACAGCTTGAGAAGACGAGGAGGAGGGAAGAGGAACAGGAGCATCTCTTTGTCCCAGGGGCTCTTCCCTAATCTTGGCTGGAAACAGAATCCCAAAAGTTTCCTGATTTCTCCAAATGGTTTGCTTCAGTGTCTCCCCCAGGTCTCAGCAACTTCTCCCTGAGGGGGTCCTGGTCTCCAGGGGATGGGGGTGAAGGATGGAGCAGACAGAAGACTTGATCTTTGCTCCCCTTGTTCACCTTTATCCCCTGGAGTCCAATAAACCAGGTGCCTGGGTGGAAGCACGAGGCATCCTCCCGCCCCCTCCTCCCCACCGCCCCCCGCCAATCCACTCTGGCCTTCAGGCCATGTTGGCAAAGAGGAGTGAGGGCACAGGTATACACAGCAGCTAAGGAGGAGCTGGTGAATATGGGTATAGACTGGTCCTTGCTGGGATGGGGCATTTAGAGACCCTTATTGAAGTAGACATAAGGCACGAGTTCTCTATACTTGGCCCTGATGGTGTCTTGGAGCTCTGGTTCCAGGTAGGAAACTGGCAATTCACTGAGAAGAGAGGAGAAGGGGGTTATGAGCATGCACTTGGACAAGCAGCAAATTACCCTCAGATAAAGTCCATCTCAAATGCCACCTTTAAGAAGCCCTTCTGGATTTTCCATCAGAATTACTAATGGCCTCTGTATACCACAAAATGTTGCTTTTACTTCTATTCAGGCCTGACTCATTCTCCCTGGTGCTAAACTTCCATCTTCTGTACAAGATTACAAGCACAATGCTCAGAACACCGGAGATGTCTAGCAGATGACTAAGAAGTACCAAGATTACTAAGGAAGGGGAGACCGGCATCTTCTCAGTTTATATTCAAGCTACACCTGGTCTCCTGGAGCTAGTCTTCCCTCTGCATCCCAGTTTCATGCTTCCTTTCCCTTTTCCATCATCCCTACTCAACCCCTCCTCCCCTTCCAGGACACGCAAAGGAAGTAGAAATGTCCAAGTCGTCCACCCTCTGGCAAACGTGAGCCAGAATAGGTACCTACCTCCTTGCTCAATTTCAAAGGCCAGATCCAGCCAGGGGAGATGTATCTAATAACCCAAGGAGCAAGGACAGAAGGTCTCTTGTTCTTCCCCCATCTGCTCTCCAAGGCAGCCCTTGCTCCACTGGGAGGGAGCAACTCAGCTCTCTGCCCCTTGGAGATCTGTTTTGGTTTACCATTCACCTGGGGTTAAGAAGCCCAGAGTTTAGGCTGATAGGCATTTGTCCTTGGACAAATGATGCCCTTCCTGCCCCTCCCTCTCTCCTTCAGGACAGCAGGCAGGTCAGGGAGAGCAGAGACAGGCTGTTCAGTAAAACAAAGTGAAGAACGAAGAGCTGATACCATTTCTGTGGGAAAAGCCCACATGCCACTGGCACCATGAAGATGAGGCTGGAAGAAAGGAGAAACCAAAGTGTCAGGGGCAGGCCTGTGCACACCCCATCCCAAGCCCCCCAAAGGAAGGGGGAGATGCCCATTCCCCTGGCCTGCCTTCCAGCAGGCCCAGAGCTCCTCTCCCTCCAACCCTTCTCCTGGTCTCCTCAGCAGGGATACTCATTCTGGCATGAGATAAAATCAGCGCCCCCTCCACCTCCCGTCCCTCACCCCACATCCACCTCTGGCGTTCGAGCAGATGAAGAAGATAATAGAATCACAAAGGAGCATGAGCAGCAGCCCTACAGACCACAAGTACCCGATGACATGCAGGGAAAGCAGTGAGGGGCAGAAACCCAACGTCCTGTTCCCGTATTCACTGAACACCTGGGCTGTCGGAGAGCAGTAAAGGGCAGTTTCTCCAACTTCACTGTACATACAGATAACCCGAGGAGCTTGTTAAAATGCAATGCTGATTCAGGAGGTTCTGGAAGGGCCTGAGAGTATTTATTTCTAATCAGTTCTCCGATGACATGGATCCAAAATCATGTCTTACAGGATATGAGAATCTAACAGACCTGGGTTTGTATTCCAGCTTTGCCACGTACTAGCTGCGCAATCGTGGGGCAAGTCACCTTTGAAACAGCAGAGGGAGGACAAGAGTCCCTGCCCTGCAGGGTTACTGTGAGGATTAAATGAGATAACAGACGTACAGCACCCGGCCCATGGTAACCGCTCCTTCAGTAGTAACTCATTTAGCAGAAGATAGTATAGCATGATGTCAGACTGCCCAGGGTCCAATCTCGGCTCCAGCTATTACCCTTGGGCAAGTTTCTTCCTCTCTCTAAGCCTCAGTTTCTCCATTTGTAAAAGCAGATGATGACAGTCTATCAGTATACATACCTCTAGGGTTGAGGGAATTAAGTGCAATTATAGACGTGAAGCATTAGCATGCGAGAGACACAGAAAACATTCAGTACGTGTTAGTTGTTGTTGTCATTAGCCTTGCAAAGCACGATTAATGCCAGGACATGTCCAGTCAGTGGCAGGCACCTGTCATGACTTGTGGTGTCTTCCTCCTGGGTGAGGCTGGGACACTTGATAGCCGGAGGCTGTCTCATCATTTTTGTCTCATCTTATTTACTTATTTACTTATTTACTTATTTATTTAGAGATGTAATTGACATGTAACATTGTGTAAGTTGAAGGTGTAGAACATGTTGATTTCATACACTTACACGACATGAGAACGACCACAGCATTAGCTCTATCATGTCACATAATTATCATTTCTTTTTTGTGGTGGAGTTGCCTCATAATTTTTGTCTCTTGTCTAAAACTGTTCCAGATTTAAGGTTAGAGGGGAGACCCTGGGACAGGAGGACACCCAAGCACGCAGCTTTCCACACAGATGTGTGCATAGAGCCTAGCGAGCCTGATGCCCTCAAAAAAGATGGGGCAACAGCCCTGTAGATGGACCACAGGTGTTCTGAGCTCGGATACTTTTGAAGTCAGGTAAGGGAGCACATGTTCTCCAACACGGGTGACACAAGAAGACAGATCTGGGGTGCCCCAGCCTCCATAGAACCCAAACCAAGAAAACACGTTACTCACAAGCACCCAGACAGCATAACCTGCAATGGGGCATGCAGGACCTTGACTTTCTGCACAAAAACAAACAAAAGAAAGACCCACATGGGACTTACCTACCTTAAGGTGAACCCCACGCCTGCCCTGCCAGCGATCAGCCAGCTAGAAACCCGGAGGCATGAAAGTCCTGGCTCTGAACGGGGAGAAGGGGGTTCTCCTTGCTTTCTGCAGACAAGGCCAAGAAACCAGGCATGGTGTCTGAAACGGGCAGCCAGCAGGGACTGGTGCGGGCCCTACTCGAGTGAGATGAAGGGTGGGAGCTAGAGGGAAGGGTAAGAGAGTCAAGAGCCCCCATGCACAGGTGTGGTTGGGGGACTCTGGGCAGAGACGACCCCAATGAGAACCCCACTTACCTTCATGAAACACAGTTTCTCCAGCCTTTCCATGAGGACTGGCAGCAAGACTGGAAGAGACCAGGGGGAAGCTGGTGGGAGAGCTCTAAGGCCTTCCTCAAGACCCCTTTGCAAAGTCAGATCAGGGAGGAGTGATTCCCTCCTCTTCCCCAGAAGTTCCAGAAAATACTTTTCATTTGGGAGAAGAACAGAAGACTACATAGGCAGGGCTACCCCCGACCTCTCTCCCAAGTCCCAGCAGATGGGTGCTTCCCAAACTTGTCAACCTGCACACCTGCAGTAACAGGAGGACAAGTACCACAGGCCCACGGCACCCTTCTCACAACTAAAACTGTCTTTGAAGGCTCCTGCAAGTAAGTTTTGCTTCCTACTGTCATGCACCCCTGCTGGAAGCAAAACCAGGGCAGGGGATTTATTTTCTCTACCACTATCTCCCTAGCACCCCACAGTGTCCAGCACAATGAAGGTACTTAAGGAATACTTATTGAACGAATGTAACTATCTCCCCCAAATCTCTGATTAATTGATGTTCCAAGAACTACAGTGCGGTTCTCCTGTGGCTTTCAGCACTCAAGCAAACAGCGTGAGGAGCACAGTTGTAGAGGCTGGGGTCCCACCTCCCACCCGAAAGCTGGGTGTAGCTGAGGTCTCCACCACGTGTTCCAGGGTCCCCCAGGATGGGAGGGCTTCCCCATCTTACTCATGCCAGGGGCTGCCATGGTGATCCGAGAAATAACCACTTGGGTGATGCCTATGGCTGCAGCTCTCTGTGGGCAGAAAAGAGTAAGTTGTCAGGAATGACCTTATCCAGTATCCCCGGGCTGCACCAGAGGGCTGGGTCAAGGTCAGGGTTGTGGCTAAGTCTGAGATGGTAAAGGGGAACGGACGGGCCTGCCAGGGACTGAGTAACTTCACCCAACCCTCTCCTACCCAGCCAGACTTTTATGGTTTCAGGATCATAAATGATAGAGCAAGGACATGAGAAGCCTGTTGTGAAGAGAGAAATGTAAAGAAACTCGATGGGGAATGAGGAGGGAGGCAGGGAGAAGCCTTCTCAATCCTACAATGGAGCCCAGGCCCGCTCTGACCACCAAGGACAGGACAGTGTGGGAGAGGGGATTTTCTCCTCCTACCCCAAAGGGAGCCCTCTACTCACCCGGGACTGACCAATCTCATTGTCATTCCTGTCCTTCACACAGATGCCCTCGATGAGTTCCCTAAACACAGACAGGAGTTCCTGGATGTGAGAAAGGGGTGTGGGAAGCCTGCCAGCAACGTGACACACCAGGGGACCAAGGCCAGGGTACCCAAGCTCTAGGAAGCCACCTCCTGCAGCCTAGCCCTTTGGTCTTCCTTCTGCACTCCAAGGAATGCTATCTCAGAAGTGATCTAAGGCCATGGCTAAGAGAGCTAGCCCTGGGCCCAGACTGAATCCTGAAACTGCAGAGTAAGTGTATGCTCTTGAGTAAGTCTCCTAATCTTTCTAAAGACTCAGTTATCCTCACCTGCAAAATGGGGATAATCATGGCACCCACTTCATAGGACCTGGTGAGGATTAAATGGGGTAATGCCTGCAAAGCGCTTGGCCCAGTGCCTGACACAGAGTACTGCTCTGCAAACAGTAGCTGCTCTCGTGATCATTCTTAGGCCAGTTCTTGACTAAACCCAAGCCCAGGTAGGTGACTGGGACTCACTCATTTGTTGGGAAGGAGCAGCTGGGTGGGAGAGGGAGAGAGGAGAGGAGCAATGACTATTCAGGTAGTGTGCTCTTTCTGCAAGGTCTATTGTGATAAATTTCCATTTGCTGGTAATCCCAAGAAAATGTGGCTTGTGGATATTGGTGATGACGATGGAGGGGATGATGACAACAGCAGCAATAATAGCTAACACTTATGCAGCATTTGTTACATTCCAGGCAGTGTTTTGAGCGCTTTACATATATTACATCATTAAATTTTATAACAGAGGAACAGCTATGCTTTCTCTAGTCGAGAAACAAGAATGAGACACAACGGGTTTTTCCTTTTACCTTTCCTCTGTGAAGCTTAGAGCCGGGTGCCTGGAAAACTATCTACTCCTCTGGCTTCTTTCAAAGCTTCTTGGTCCTGTTCTATCTCTGGACACCTCACTCTGCTGCATTTCATTCTGTAAGCCATCCCCAGGGCTTTGGAAGTAGGCAGAGTTCACGACTTAAATACAGTTGTAGTAGAAAGGACACGATCTAGTATAAAACCCCACAGATCCACCCTATCCCCCGATCCCACACCATCCAAACAATGACTCCCTGAACACTCACCACAGATCAGACCTAAGTCACCCACCACTCCCGGGGCCATCACCGTTGGAGCAGCCAATCCTCAAGGACCCTTCAGGGGTGCAACCCAGCAGCCCTCCCCACACCCACCTCTGCCCCAGGAAGCCACCCGCTGCCTTGGTTTCTTGCCCCTCCCCTAACCTCATGGTTTGTAGGGAGGAAAAGGGATCCTTGTACTCACTGCTGTCTCATCATTGGAATGTTGACACAGTTAGCTGCGGCCACGGCAGCAAAAGGCACCCAGCGGCCCAGCAGGGGTGGTGCTTTCTGTTGGTGGAAGGGAACAATGGGAGTTGCTCAGGCTCACTGAAAGATGGAAGTGGAGAGGGATGAAGGACTATAAAACAAGAAATCAGACCTCGCTACTGCCACACATCCAGACACCAGTCTGGGAACCCAGACTCCCTCAAAGGCCCAAGAAAGACCAATCTGGGGACAGCCCTGCTGTATTTCCCACTACTTCGCTGGGCTCTGGCCATACCCAACTAACCCAGTCTGGAGAAATGTCCCCTGCCTCGAGGAAGAGGTTTTCCCTAGGACTTTGCTGCCCCCTAGTGGCCACCGTGCCCACAGCAGCCCCAGACCATACCTTTGTCAACATGTTCATGCTAACAGCAGTGGCCACGGCAGTGGTTGTAGCTGAGATGTAGGAAAGGGCCATCTGCCTGGTGAAGGAGAGAGATGCTTGGGAGTGGGGAGCCCTGCAGGCTGAGGGCAAGACCATGGATTGAGTGAGAAAGTCTGGAAACGGGGCCTCATGCCTGAGAAGCTCACATGATCTCTCCCCAGCCTCATCTTGTGACCGGGCCCGACTCACGATGCTCCAGCCCCCTTGGTTTCCTTTCAGTACTTTAAACATGCCAAGCTCTCTCCTGCCTCGGAAGCTTTGCATGCTGCTGCTCCCTATCCGGGGAATTCTTCCTTGGGCTCTTGCCTGGCTAAATCCTTCTCCTTCAGAACTCAGCTGAAACGTCAGCTCTGCAGAAAGGACTTCCCTGACCAGCCGATCTACACAGACGCCCCTCTGCTGTTCTTGATCTTGTCACCCTGTTTATTTCCTTAATGGCAGCAATCACAGCCTGAGATTATTGTGCTTGTTTTCTTAAAAGACCTTAAATTCCCTGAGAATAAGGACCACACATCTCACTCAAATGGATCCCCAGCACCTAGAACCATGCCTGGCATATAAACACACTCAAGAAATATTTGCAGAATAAATGAATGAACACATTTTGAATTGGTCTAGGAAGAAGATACTCTCCTAGTCAGCCTAAGAAAATACTTCCAAACCCTGAAAAGGGAGACTTGGTCACCGGCCCAGGGAGGACTGATGGCCCGGGAACCCTTCAGAAGGGCTGTACCTCCAGAGGCAAGAGGACAGCCACGTGCTCCAGACCCACATGGAGTTCAGGTCTCCATGACCTGAATCAGGGTTCAGTTCTCCTGGGGTTCAGCTCTCTTACCTGAGCGATGTGGGGGAAGCTGCATTCCTGTTGGTGTAGTTGACCAAGGCATTGAAGGACTGGTTCACCCACTGCCAGAAGATCACCGCCGGCATCGTCCTACCAGGAAAGGAGGCCCGGAGAACAGGAGAGACAGAGGGCTTGGTACACACCAGTCCAACCACATCACCTGCTATTCCCTCAACAGCTCCCATGCTGTTTTATGCACCTGAGCTTTTGCACAGGCTGGCCCCCTGCCTGGAATATCCACTCTCCCTACTTCTGTATGTGGTTAAACGCTGCTCTGCCTAGAGAGCACTTCTTCCTTGGAACCTTCTCGACCCTTCCACTGCCCTTCCTGAGACACAGTCAGCCATTCCATGCTCCCTGTTCCCACAACCCCACATTCTCCCCACAACCTACCACTTAGCAAGCTGGACTGAAACTGTTTACTTCCTGGTCTCCTCAACAAAACTGGGGGCTCCCTAAGGGGAGGGACTAAAGTCCTTATATTCCCAACACCTGGCCCAAGGCCTGGCTCAATAACTGGACAAATGGATGTGTCCAGGACGAGGAGGGAAGGAAGAGAGGAAAGGGGAGGAGCCACACATCCAGGAGCTGCAGAGAAAGTTTATTCTCTCCCCAACTGGCCTGAAAGGGTCTTCCCATTTTTTTACTGGAATACTACATGATAAAAAATACATTAAATTACATTGTTTAATAAGTACTTTTGAAGAAGGAATTAGGATAGCTTATTCACTGAGCATTCCAGAGAGGACTGCCTCAGTTAAAATCCAGGCACCAATGTTTCCTGGCTGTGTGGACCTGGACAAATTACAGAACCTCTCTAGCATCTCAGTTCTTCATCTATAAAATGGAGATGATGATAGTACCTCTCAGTAGGGTTGCTGAGAAGACTAAAGGAGCTGGTATATGCAAAGAATTTAGCACAGTGCCTGGTATCTGGGAAGGGATCAATAAAGATGATGATGATTATTATCATAATATGGCTCCTTTTTTTTTAAATACTTTTTTTCACTCTTTCCAATCAAAGGTTATGAACACCTGTCTTGCCTGAAGACCTCCAGCCTCACGGTCCATTCTTAAGAGGAGGTAATTATAGTATACACACTTAGAAACCAGGTCAGGTTGGTTATGTCAGCATGGTTCTGTCCTCTGACCCACATCATCCAGGCAGCTGCACCTCTCACTGCCTGGCTCCCGGTTCCCACCTGTAGAACTGGAGCATGAAGCCGGTGATGATCATGCCACCAGGGACCTGGAAGGACATCCGCCCAATGACGTTCATCTTCTCCCCAGTGTCAGGGTGGAAGGCCGAGTCGTAGAGCTTCTTGGCATACAGCAGCTGCTCGACTTGGGTGCCTGGGGGCACGACCCCTATCCTGCCACCCAAGGACAACAGGCAGAATTACCTCCCAGTCCCCCTGCCCTGAGTCACCCTGCTCTCACTTCTCCCTCCTTCCTGAGTTCTCTGCCTATTCCCTCATCTTTAGTCTCCACCTCCTCCCTAGGGGACCCATCAATGTCACCCCCATGCCTCCAGCTCCCTTCCCCTAACCACTCACCTACTCTTCTCCACCATCACCTTGGCCCAGTCCAGCTCCCGCTCTGGTACCAGGACAGTGCGGGGGTCCGTGATATTGAAGAAATGCTTCACCCGCCCCAGGAAAGTGCGCTGGTCCCAACGGGGGGCATCGATGTTAAAGCCAGACACGTCACCTTCCATCTTGCTCATACACAAAACTGTGGGCTTAAGGAACAGAGGAAAAAGAAAGACTGTCTCCAAAATCAAAGCTTGCCCCAGAAGTCCTGAGCACCTCTCACTGTTGTAGACTGCCTCCTTTCACCAGCCACTAGCATCACCTGACTCAGCTTGGGGAGGTCCAAGTGAAAGGCCACCAGACTCAGCAATTGGGCACCAACATGTGTTTCTTGAGTGCCTGCTGGTGGCCAGTCCTGTGCTTGATCAGGCCATTTGGGAGACCGGGAAAAGGGACAATACAAGGCCTGTCTTTGAGGAGCTGAGTCTGACTGGGGAACGAGAGCCCATCCATGGAACAGTATATTTTATGTACAGCAACAGTAAGTACAGGAGAGGAGAGGAAGTACAGATAGGGGGGCACAGCAATCAAAGGGGGCTTCCTAGAAGAGGTGGAATGCAAGTGAGGCCCCAGAAGATAGAACGGATTTATCTGAAGGAGGTAGAAGGCATGGGATCACATTAAAGGTAAAACAATCACAGATAAAGGATGACATGAACAAGGCATAATCACTCTCCTCATTTCAGTGTGTTTTTGTGTGTGTGTACATGCACACGTGGCGCATGCCAGCCCTGTGAGAGATCCCGGGCCATGGTTGTGACTGAGGTACCACACCTGCCCTCGAAGAGTTACAGAATGGGAGGCAAACAGACAAGTCAGTCAATAAGTACAGTAGTGTGAATAATGCTGTTGGCAGACACTGGGAGCAGTGGAAAGCCAGAGAAGAAGGATCTGAAACTGAGATGACCATATCTCCCAGTTTGCCTGGGGCTGCTGTCCTGGATAATTATTAACAGCACCCTTTTTTACTTTCAAAAGTGTCCAAATTTGGCCAATAAATTATATGGTCACCTTATCTCAAATGGATGAGGGATTCTGAACACGCTTTGTGAGAGCAAGAAATAAGCAATGTTTTGAAGGATGTGTAAATGCTAGATAGATGGAGGACAGGTATCGCAGGCAGAAAGAAGAGCCAGTGGTGAAAGCACCCAGCGCCTATGGAAACCTGACAACGATGACAACAGCTAACACTTGCTGAGCTCTACTCTGTGCTAGACACTTTCCTTGGTGCTTGACAGGCATTTTCTGAATTCAGCTTCACAATAACCCTAGAAGACAGATACTCTTGAATTTAACCACATTTTATGGATGAGAAAACCGAGGCACAGATAAGTAACTTTACCAAGTCACACAGGCACTACCCAGTGGCAGAGCCAGGAGTTTCATTCAGCCTGATTTACTTCAGAACCCTTGCCTACAACTTGGTTCTGGAATCCATGACTCAAAAAGCTAAGGCAGGTCTGATATGTAAAAAGCTGGGAAGCTGTCACTCCTGCCTTCACAACAAGACCAAAGCTAACAAACTGAAGATCACCAACTCTTCTTAGACCCATCAGAGAACTGAGGTCACAAGGCAAACTACCACCTCCAACCTGGAGAGACAGGCAGCTACAGGGAATCACAGTTCCCCAGAAGCAGAAGCCCGCCTTTGGGGCAGGGAGCACTGGAAAAGCTAAACTGTAATCGACAAATTGCTGGACGCTCAGTGTGGACAAGTTTGACTATTAAAAATTCCAGGAGGACTCGGTCTGGGGGGGGCCCACATTTTGGGGAGTTTTACCTCCAGGAGCCCCACCAGGTTCTCAGGGTGAAGATCAGAGAAAAACCCCCTAGTGCTTTTGGCAGAGAGATGGGAAAAGTAGCCATTTGGAAGTACAGCCAGAGCCTTCTGTTCTTAACAAGGTCTGCCCTCAAAGGGAACTATTTTACCAGAATCTAACTGGCTTGGAGGCAGGAAAACACCCAACTCCAGCCCCTTCTAGCCTTCCTGTCTCACTTAAAGGGGTGAGGAGAGCCTGAAAAGCTCTTGTGAAGATCCAGGGGTGCAGGCTCCCTCAAAGACTGAGCCCTAATCATAAGACGCTCTCCCTCCCCTCACACTTCACCACAGCAACAACAGGGCTCCTGCATCATAACACGGAGAGCTAAACAACAACAGAAAGAACTGCAAGTCTCAGAACTTAAGAAGAAGGCTCCAGAAACTCAAAAGACAACCGGGGAGAGGAAATGTCAGCCTTTGACACTTAGACCTTCAGCAAACAATAAACACAGCCTAACTCCTCACCAGATAAACATAAAACCTCACACACATCTGGCTTTCAACAAAGAATTACAAGGCATACTAAAAGGCAAAAAACACAGTTTGAAGAGACAGATCAGAACCAGATGATAGAGATTTTGGAATTATCAGACCAGGAATTTTAAATAACTATGATTAACATGTTAAGGACTGCAATAGGAACATGGACATTATGCAAAAACAGATGAATAATGTAAGCAGAGAGATGGAAACCCTAAGAAAGAATCAAAAGGAAATGTTAGAAACCAAAAATACCGTAACAGAAATGAAGAATGGGGGCCAGCCTGGTGGCATAGTGGCTAAGCTCTCAAGCTCTGCTTCAGTGGCCCAGGGTTCACAGGTTTGGATCCCAGGTGTAGACCTACACACTGCTCATCAAGCCACACTATGGTGGCATCCCACCTACAAAATAGAGGAAGACTGGCATGGATGTTAGCTCAGGGACAATCTTCCTCAAGCAAAAAGAGGAAGATTGGCAACAGATGTTAGCTCAGGGCCAATCTTCCTCACCAAAAAAAAAAAGAAAAGAAATGAAGAATGCCTTTGATGGGCTCATCCATAGACTGGGCATGGCCAAGGAAAGAATCAGTGAGCTTGAATATGTGTCAATAAAAATTTCCCAAACTGAAAAGAGAAAAAAGAATTTAAAAAACAGGATAGAATATGTAAGAACCTTGGGACAATTACAAAAGGTGTAACATACATGCAATGGGAATGCCAGAAGGAGAAGAGAGAAAAGAACAGAAGAAATATTTGAAATAATAATGACTGAGAAGCTTCCAAAATTAAAGACAGAATCACTGCAGAAAATCAAGACAAAGAAAATCAAGAAAGAACCTATCGATGGAGGAAAAAAACACTTTATCTATAGAGGAGCAAAGATAGGAATTACATTGGACTTCTCTTAGAAACCATGCAAGCAAGAAGAGAGTGGAGTGAATGAAATATTTATTGTTGGAAAAAAAAACTCATCTACCTAGAATTCTGTATCCAGCATAATTAACCTTTAAAAGTGAAGAAGAAATACAGACTTTCTCAGACAAACAAAATTGAGGAAATTTGTCACCAACAGACCTGACTTGCAAGATGTTAAAAGAAAATGACATAGATCATCATAGACATAGGATCTAGTTGAGAAAGAAAATGATATAGATCATCAACTAGGATCTATATAAAGAGTGCCAGAGAAGGAATAAATGAAGGTAAAATAAAATGTAATTCTTAATTGTTAACAGTTAACAAATAGATAACAGTTAATTCAAAATAATAATAGCAACAATGTATTTGGTGATTTTAGCTTACAAATAAGTGAACTGAATGACGGTATGTATACATATGCTATATACGCATATATATATATGTGCAATATTTCAACGCTATTAGGAAAAGGAGGGAGGAATTGGGAATACTCTATTATGAGGTACTGGCCCTACCAGTGAAGTATCGTGTTATTTGAAAGTGGACTTGGATTAGTTGTAAATGTATATTACAAACTCTAAGGCAACCACTAAAAAAATTTTCAAAAGAAGAATAATCAACATGCTAAGAGAGGAGAGAAAATAAAGTCCCATAAAAAAGCTACAGCTTTTGAACTTTTGCCTGAAAATTTCAGGAGGCCATTAAAAGATTTTAAGAAGAGTGACAAGATCAGATGTGTAGTTTAGAAACAACACCTTGGGCAACTGTTTGAGAATAAACACAGTGTGTTAGGACCTCATAGGAGGCAGGGAGACCAGCCGGAAGGGAATCCCAATAATCCAGGCAAGAAGAAGTGGGGCTCCAATGAAGCCAGATGCACCAGAACAGAGACAGCGAACAAAAGGAGAGAACCTGTTCAAGCAGCAGAATCTGAGGACTTGCTAAGCGATTGGGTATAGGAGGAATATTCTCAGTCAGGGCTCAGCCAGGGAAGTAGAATATATACATACCCTTTATATGCATGTATATACATATATATATATGATATTGATAAATATATAAAAATTGATACAGTACAAGGAATTAGCTAACTGGCTTACGTAATTTTGGGAGCTGGCTAAGCAAGCCTGAAGCCAGCAGTGCAGGGAGTTAGGATGGGACCATCCTGGGGGAAGGAGAGCAATGCAGGCCCAGCTGTGGCTCGAGTCTCTGACCCGTGGGGGGCCTAGCCCTCTTTTAAAGGGATTCCGTCGGATTAAATCAGGCCACCCAGGATAATCTCCCTTTAGATTATCTCAAAGCCAACCAATCAGGGACTTTAATTATATTTGCAAAATCCCTTCACCACAGAACCTAAATTAGTGTTTGATCAAATACCTGGGAGAAGGTGTGTGTATGCCACAAAATGGTGACTTCTCCCTCAGCCCACTTTGAGTGGAAACATGCCAGAGAGGGGATCCTGGGGGGTTTCATTTGGCCTAGCCAAGTAGACACATCACAAGAATCTAGAGTGATACCTAGGGTTTCTGACTTGGGCAATAATGTGCTGAGAGAGAGAATGTAGAAAAATAGGCTTTAAGGGAGAAAACAGTGAGTTTGATTTTCCACGTGTTGAGTTCCAAGTGCCATGGGACTTTTTTTTAAATTGAGATATAATTGGCACATAATATTATATTAGTTTCAAGAGTACAACAGAATGATTTGATATTTGCATATATTATGAAATGATCACCACAATAAGTCTAGTTAACATCCGTCACCATACATAGTTACAAAGTTTTTTATTATTGTGATGAGAACTTTTAAGATCTACTCTCTTAGAAACTTTCAAATATGCAATACAGTATTATTAACTATAGTCACGCTGCTGTACCATGGGACTTTTTTTTTTTCTCTTTGCTGATGAAGATTAGCCCTGAGCTAACATCTGTGCGAATCTTCCCCTACTTTATATATGGGTCGCCACCACAGCATGGCTGACACAAGTGGTACAGGTCTGTGCCCGGGATGCAAACCCCTGAACCCAGGCCACCAAAGCAGAATGCACTGAACTTAATCACTATGCCACAGGGCTGGCCCCACCATGGGACTTTCTTAAATGCAATAGGTGGTCACCTGTATCAGGTTCTTAACAAATGCTATTCTCTGTCCAGAATGCTATTCCTTCCCCTCGTCACTAAATAACACCTACTCATAACTTTTTTTTTATAGGAATAATGTTCAGATTTAACTCTATATCTTCCGTGACTAGGTCATTTGTCTTTTTTCTTGAAAATATCACCTTAACTGAGGATTTTCCATGTACATTAAATTACAAGTTCACAGGCACAGCTTGAGCAAGATTTTAAAAGCTATCTTCTTGAGTTATACGATGATCTAAATCCAAAGCACTCACAGAATTGAGCAAACAAAGCCAGTATTTGCATATTAGGGAAAGGAAACGCATTGCTGATGGAAGCCACAGATCTAATAAAAAATGTTTGTTTTTTGTGCCTGATCTTTTATTTTTTTATTTATTTTTTCCTTCTTTTTCCTCCCTAAAGCCTTGGGGACATAGTTGTATATTCTAGTTGTAGGTCCTTCTGGCTCTGCTACGTGGGATGCCACCTCAACATGGCCTGATGAGTGGTGCCATGTCCATGCCCAGGATCCAAACCAGTGAAACCCTAGGCCACTGAAGCAGAGCGCACGAACTTAACCACTCGGCCACGGGGCTGGCCCAAATTAAATGTTTTATATTAGGTGGTAAATGAAAGAATTCCACTCAAGACCACCACCTCAATAAAAACCCTTGGGTTTGGACCATCCCGGTGGCGCAGCGGTTAAGTGCACACGTTCTGATTTGGTAGCCCAGGGTTCACCGGTTCGGATCCCAGGTGTGGACATGGCACTGCTTGGCAAGCCATGCTGTGGTAGGCATCACACATATAAAGCAGAGGAAGATGGACACAGATGTTAGCTCAGGGCCAGTCTTCCTCAGCAAAAAGAGGAGGATTGGCAGCGGATGTTAGCTCAGGGCTAACCTTCCTCAAAAAAAAAAAACAACAAACCCTTGGGTTATTGCAGCAAAGGAAGCAAGGGAAGTTACAGCAAAGCTATCTCAGAATAAATAGCAGCCTTAAAAGCAGATGCATTAGCAAATAATTTCAAGGACTCTAGCTATCCCCCCCAAAAAAGTAGCCTTTTGCTCTCCAGAGACAGTCTAGAGTTACCCACAAGGACGCACCTACCCATCCTTCAGATCTCGGCTTAAACCTCCTTTCCGCAGAGAATCCTTTGAAGGACCCCTTCCTTCCTCCCAGGCAGCTAGATCAGGTGCTCTGCTGTAAGCTTTCTTGGCTCCATACTTTGTCTTCAGAGCTATGCCAGTTTGTCACAATACTGTGTGGTTTTATCTTACTTAATGCCTACCTTCCCACCAGGCCATAAGCTCCTTGAAGCCAGAGGTTGCGTCCATTTTGCTCACCCCCGTGGCCTCAGTGCCCAGCACAAGAATTCAAGTATTTGCTGACTAAGAGGTCCAGTTTGTCAGCAATTGGATATTTAGGCTTAAAAAAAAGCACAGAGGTCTGGGTTAGAAAGAAAACAGTGAGTCAGCAGCATTGAGGTAGTTTAAGTTTTCCAGTGAGAATACATAGAAGAAGAGTAGAGCTGAGGACGTACCCTGACAAACCACTATATTTAAGAGACAAGAAGAAAAAAGGAAGCCAAAAAAGATGAGAAAGAACAACCAGAGAGGCAGGAGGTAAGAGTAAGCAACAAATGGGGTAAAGGGGGAGCGGTGGTCAGTTTTTAGATTTTTTGTTAGGGTGGGAGACATGTCGCAAGTTGATATGCTGGGGGTAAGTCATTGCCCCGGGAGGAAGAAGCCCGGCGTGGAATCTGCGTAGCACCCTTGCCCAGCCCTGACTCACCCACTGAGCGGCAACCCCTGAAGAAGTCAGCAGCCAGACAGCAAGTGTCCACTGCCGGAACTCCAACTTCAGCCTCTCCTGCTCCACCACGGAGCCCACGAGAAAGCTCTGGGCCCTGCCCTCCAGGGACAGGCTGACTTGGCCTCCTGCAGGCTGGTTCAAAGACCGAAGGCATTGCACCCAGTCCTAACTGAACCCAGGAGTGGGAGGGGAAAGAGTTCACTTTCCTGACTCTGCACGAAGCCAAAAGGAGTCGGCCTGGCCAGCAGATCACACACCGCCTTGGCTTACAGAGGCCCATGCTCACACCCGAGGGAGACAGCCCCATGGAGCAAAACGCTATGCCACCCCCACCTCAAAACACACACACACACACACACTTCTCGGACATCTCTCTCCACCCTCAACCCAACAACTCAGCACTGGAAAGTCCTCTGTCTTTCACAATGGAAGCACTTCTACCACGTCGCGGTAATCATTTGCTAAGTTATGCAAGGACCTCTGCCTTCACTACGGAGGTCAGGATGGGACCTGCGCGTCCCTGTCTTATGTAAAACATAAGGCCAAAAACACCAATCTAAATTCATGTCTGGAACACTTCCCCCCACACCATTGCCCTCAATGGGGACAGTTTTGTGCTTCCTTCAGGGCAAAATCAAGCCCTTCGGTTACATACTCCCAAAGCGTCCTGTCCTCCTTTGCGGCATGCCGGGCTTTTGTGATTGTCACTTTCTCGTTATTTAAAGTTATCTGTGTAAAGTCTGCCTCCACTGACAGATCGTAAGGTTCATGCTGTAGCGCTCACCTGTCCTCTAAAAATACTTACTGCCTGCCTGAAATGCATTCCAACTTGTTCTGGGGTTCTCTTGGCATCAAGGATGTCACCTCTGTTAATTCAAACTCCGAACCTGCCTTGGTTACACAAGTAAGAGCTGCCTTGCTTTCACAAAGCTGCAAATTGTCTACCCCACCTATACTGGGTCCTATCTGGTCTCTAAGTTTTCTTGCACAGTTACTCTCCCTCTTCCCACATAAGCCACAACTAGTACTCCCTAAAAAGTTCACTCTCATGTCCAGGGTGGCCTCACTTTTGAAGGAACATGGTTCCAACACTACTGGGAACAAGGGAGGAAAGGAAAATCAATCAGGTGATTGACCGATACCTCCCTTTCCTTCTGGGATTAGAGAATGTCACAGGTCAAAGACGTTAGGGATCCAAGATCTCAGTTTACAGAAGAGGAAACTAACACCTAGACAGGTTCACACTGATTGAGCCAGCATGCTGAGCATCTGTGCCACACACGTTCCTGCGCTAAGCACTGTGGCAGACATGACAGCTGAACAACTAACAGATGCAGTCCTGTTTATCCATCCAAAAACCTAACAATAGCTAGGGCGTTATTTTCCCAAGGTCAAAAGGCTTAGGGTCACCTAGATAGGTCCTCTATCAGCTACAGGGTGCTTATCTTAAGAAGGAAAGAAAGAGGGGCCGGCCCGGAGGCGCAGTGGTTAAGTGAGCACGTTCCGCTTCAGCAGCCAGGGGTTCGTCAGTTCGGATCCTGGGTGCGGACATGGCGCTGCTCATCAGGCCATGCTGTGGCAGACGTCCCACATATAAAGTAGAGGAAGATGGGCACAGATGTTAGCTCAGGGCCAGTCTTCCTCAGCAAAAAGAGGAGGATTGGCAGCAGATGTTAGCTCAGGACTAATCTTCCTCAAAAAAAAAAAAAAAAAAGAAGAAGAAGAAGGAAAGAAAGAAAAAGAGAGGGAGAAAAAAGAGAAAAAACCAAATAACCTACTACCTCTCCTGAAGTAATGCTCATCCTTCCAGAGAGAGCTGATTTTCTCTGGCAAACACTATCAGAGCTCGCACAACAGGCTTCCAAACCTCCTCTGGGATATAACCTCTTGCAAGGGCGGTGTGTGGGGAGAAGTCCCAAGATTTCCCTGTTTGTAGCCCCAGGTAGGGAGAGAGAGAAAATATGATCGCTGGTACTCACATCACAGGAAGATCTAGGTGGCCAAAGACCCAAGAAGGTCAGCCACAAAGACTGCTGAGATAGGCAAAGGTTGGTGGCAAGGCTGCCTACTAAAAAAATTTGGAGAATGAGACTAATAATTAAAGGAGCTGGCCCAGCTATATGCCTACGTCCACTCACGTGACTCCAAGGCACCGTGACGTTAGACACCAGACAACTTAGAAAGAGAAGGCTGTCTTGCCTTTTTCAAAAAAGAATCAACAGGCTGGAGATGGGTGGACTGTAGAAGTGCATGTGTATTCCAGTGAGAATGGAACTAACCATTCATCTTACACCTTAGTCAAGGTTCTGAACTGTGTCTTCTCTCCAAGGATCTGAAGCAGGTACGCAGGTAGCAGATGTTTAAACAATACTTTAGTTGAATGTATAAATAGCTAAGCACCATTCAGGGAAAATGTGCCTTCATTCCAATAGTCTTAATTAGGTTGGAAAGCCTGCTGGCAGGAAGAGGGACAAAGCCCAAAAATCTAGATGAGACTATATTAATAATAGCTTAGCCTTATATAGCACTTCCTATGTGCCAGGCAATGTTCCATGTACTTGCCATATGATAATTCACATAACCCTCACAAGAACCCAGTGAGGTAAGAGCCACACACATCTGCAAACCTCCAGGTGTATCATCCGTGCCCATACTTTATCAGCTCTTAAAACTTCGGGATTTACATCTCAAATTTAAACCACTCTGTTCCTTCTACCTGGACAATACAGTAGTGTTTAAAAGCACTTTCTCAAGAGTGAGAAAGAACTAAGTTCAAGTCCCGACTCTTATCGCTTAAAATAACCAGTGTATCCCTTAAAACAACCAATTTCTAGGGTTGTGAGAATGAAACAAAATCTTGTACGAAAAGCATTTCACTAGGAAGGATGTAATTTCCATAAGGGGAGACTTTGTCCCCGCTCTGTCTGCCGAGTCTAGAATACGACCTGGCACATACGTGATAACTCTTCTTCCCGTGCCCTGCAGGGGAAGGAGTGGGGGTAACACCTCCCAACTCACCCAGAAGCCCTCTCGTTCTTCCTTGCCTGGAACTGCAGGCCCATTTCTGCCTCCTTTGGGATTGCCGAGGGCGCACCGCCTGGTCCAACGTAGCTTAGCAAAACCTAGCCATTCCAAAACGCCTTGCACCCCCGCTGTCAGCTCACTTCAGCGCTCAGGACCAGTCTCCAGGGTGCTTCTTGCCCTCCGACAACATCCTCCCACCAGCGGGACTCTTCCATCACGGACTCTAACACAGGTGTGTGAAGATGGGTGCGCAACCCATAACACCCCTGCACCTCAGCCTGGCACTCGAAAGCGCCGGGGGTCCTCAGGGAGACGTCCATGGGCAGCCCCAGGCCACTCCTTGCGCCACGTGGCTTCGGCAGGTGGAAGCCCAGCCCGCACAGCAGCCCAGCCCGCGCCGCAGCCCCGCCCGGGTAAAGTCAGGACTGAAATCCAAGCTCCCTCCCGGGATGTGGGGACTGACAATAGATGCGGCGGACGGCCTCCTCCCAAGACCCCTTACCTGGTCCCGAGAGGAATGTACTGAGGCAACTGCCACCAGACAGCCCGCGCTGGAAGTCAGGCGTGGATGCACTTCGGGCCACCGCCCAGGAACCGCCCCTTGCCCCGCCCCCACGCGCCTTCTGCCTGACCAATCTCAGGCCCGGCGGCCCCCGCCAGCCACGTGGGAGAGCCTTCTCCATTCCCCGGGTCTCTATAAGTCAGCAGCCGCCTCTCGCCTGCGCAGTTGGCGGGCGGGGGGGGGGGGGGGGGCCGGGAGGGAGAGACACCTTGGCGCGCTTGCGCACTTCGGAGAAAGCGGAGCTGGACCCCGCCCCGTCCTGCTGCTGTGCTCCTCCGCTGTGCGTGCGAGAGACGTCGGGGGCGGCGCCGCAGCAGTTGCCCCTGGTAACGGGGGAGGCCGCCGGAGGAGGAGGAGGAGGAGGAGGGACTCGACGGGAGGATGGTGAGTGTGGGGGCTTGGGCCCCCGGAGCTGGCCGGTCAGCCCCCGCCCGTCCCCAGGCCCAGGGCGGGGCACTGAGCTTAAAGCCAAGGAGGGAATGGGACGGCGCTCAGCCTGCTGTCTGGGTCCTAGATTGGTTTTGGGGGGTGGCGGGGAGCCCCGAGGGAGACCTGGGCCTGGGGAGGAAGGCGGGGCTTGCAAAGGGTCCGAAGCTGAAGGAAGGGGCTGGAAGTGTGCGTGGCTGTCCGCGTACGGAGCCCGGGCTCCATCATTACTCTGGGGACTGGGATGAGGGCGGATCTGAGGAGCTGCAGAGAGCAGCCTCCTCACGCAGGCTTAGATCTTCCCAGGGAATCGGCCTCCCCACGCCGCAGGGGGGTCCGCCGGGGCCGGGCCAGAAGCGGGGAGAATGGCCAGCCTTACTGTCTTTGAGGTCGCCCTGGCGGTACCAGAGGAGATAGTAGCCTCGCTCTCCTCTTCCTCGCTGAGTGCGGGCCTCTGGGGGGAGGGGTGTAAATCCCAGAACACAAAGAAGTGCCGCTTGGAAGGGATGCCTGGTGGATTTTACGCCGCCTCGGTGACTGCATGGCGGGCGCGCTTCTGCAGTCCCGAGTTAGTTACTTGCTGAGGGTTCTGCAAAGTCTGGTTGTTGGTGATGACCAGTGTTCCCTTCAGTACTTAATCCGTGTTGATGGAGGCAGATTTGCTGCCTGGTCCCTAGTATTTCCTTCGGAACCTATTGCAACCATCTTTTGCATATGAACACACCGGAACCAAAGGTCTTCATCTCGGCTTGGGGTCTCCAAACTAAAAAGAATGGGAAATTAAAACTGAAGCGTGGCCGTCAATTTGAGGCAAGCCTTTTCTCTGTCAGACCTAATTAAAGCTTTCCCAAATGGTGAATTCTGATGTGCGGCAGATTTGACCGTTGACACTCTGTTCCTTGTTGATTTCTGTGCACTTAGTTGGAGGATGTTAAAATGAAATTGAGTAGATTTAGAGCTAGTCAGAGAAAATATGATTTTTAAGTATTTAGAGCAGATTGGTTGGCTTACCAGCTGCAGGGAGCCAGCCCTCAAACTTATAGTTACTTCCCTACACCAACCCCAGTCCTTTTTTGACTTTCCGAAATGTTGAACCACGTCTGTTGATTTATGAAACAAGAAAAAGCTAGATGTCCACAGGAAAAAAAAAATACCTGTAGCTTTCGTCAGATTATGCAAAGAGTGAATTTTGATAGAAAAAAATCTCAATTGATTTTACATTGTCAGATTGTTAAAGAAGTAGAATTATTTGATCTGAAGTTGTCAGTCCCATTTCACACTTGCTACATTGCAGTTTTATTAACCTCAGGCGAAACAGATTTTTACATGTTTTCTTTTTATTAATCGTTTATACATGAGCTGTCCATTTAAAGGCTAATTTTTTCTCAACAAATGAGTACAAATGTAAATATTTACACAGAAAATAACTAGAATTGAAATGAAAAGACATGCCAAGCCAACAGAGAATGAGATATCATGAATGAGTTGGCTAACTTTTCCCAGTTTGTTTATCAATTAAGTGGACTATGTAATTTCATGATTGTTTAATTTGTAATTACAGGCCACAATAAATTAACCACTTCTCGTGTTTCCAGGTGCAGATTGACACTGTATACAACAAGTTGACAGTGTATACAACACTGTTGTATACAACTGTTGTATTCAATGATCAAGACAGATTTTGTTTTACTTTTTCTTTTTTCCTAAAAGGAACAATAAGAAATTAGGACAAATTCTTTTGGATTTTTTATCTGGTTTCCCAAATACATTTTCTTCTCTCTCTCCAAAAGTGTGAGCTATTCTTAGAACTGAAAGTGGAACGCGGAATTTAAACGGTCAGTGGTGTGATTCAGTGTGTCACATCTGGTATCCCGTGAGCCCCCATGGTAACTGTACTGCTGAATAGTGAGTCTCAGGTTTTGGGGGTTTTTTTAAAGCCTTCAGCTATGACTAATACATAATTTTTTTTTTAATTTGGCATACTACAACAAAAACCCATTATTGGTTTCTCTGAACATTTGGGGTAAATTATTTTACCCCTGACTTACGATCCCAAGTCCTTGGTGAAATACTAAAATGACAGTAATTTAGTGCATAACTAATCATTGTTATTTAATAGATGACTCATTCAGGAATTATTTATAGAGTACTTTTTACACATATGTGAACCTAGTGGTCATTATCAAGCATGTTCAACATTTAAAGATTGTTCCCAAGATTGTTTTCTGGTCAGAAAATGGTCAGTGAAAAGTAAAAAGAAATAAATACAACTACTGTTTTGAGTGCCTGTTATGCACCATGCTTTACGTATATTACCTCCTTTAATCTTCATAGCATTTTTCTTGAGATATAAGTATTGTTCCCATTTTCTAGATGACTCTGTGCCAGGGGTTACACATAGAGGGAAGTTGACAAGTCAGTGAAACTGCAAAGTCCATGTGTTCCTTTCTTTAGAACTCTTGTGAGTGGGAACCTACTCTTCCTGAGGGGATGCCCATATTTTGTTCTTCTGGAAACATTGTATTTATTTAGTAGCGAGATGAGAAGAAAGAAGAAAAGGTTTGGGTGAGGTTCTGCCTGTCAAAGCTCTGGGAGTTCCTGGAAATTAAGGTCTCTCTCAGCAGCAACAATTTTTTTGTTAGTTTAAAGAGGTAAAAATGAAGTCATTTCCATTTAAGCTAGTTATGGGGAGTGAGTGTACTTGACAGTTTGCTTACTAGTTTTAATATTTACGTTTTAGCTGCTCCTCACAGCCACGTATATTATCCGTATACCAACACATTCCTCTCTCCCCTTCTCCACCCCAGTTTCTCTGAATGACCTAGTGTGCATCGTTTTAGGTCAGTGCGCCATGCCTCTGCTAGTAGTTGAGTTTAAGCTGATTTTGAGGCAGATAAAATGTCTGTAGTCAACAGCACATCTATTCATGATTTGCCTGTAGAAAAGTTTGTTTAAATGTTCTGTGGCTGAGTCAGACCATTTCTGTCCACCAGGGTGCAGACAACTTGTATATATGCATGCTGGTCACGTACAATATACAATTAACTAAAGTTCTGGTTTCTTAAATTGCCTTTATTTCACATCATAGGAGTATAAATCCTACATAAAGATCATTTCTGCTTTGCTCACTATTGTAATTGGAGCACATTATGGGTGTTTAATGATGAATGAGTGAATGAATGGCTATTTTGACCAAAAATACACTTAAAAAATTCATTTCCTTGTATTTATATTGCAAAACTCAGCCCCATAATAAAAGTAACTTCTAATAGCTGTCTCACTTCATTTGACATTTAAAATAAAGTATGGACATATATGGATGGAAGCATAGAATAGACTTAGTCTGCTCTGTTTCGTCCAGCCTCTTAAATCAGCTTACTTTGTACCTTTCAGGCAGAACCCTGGTATCTATAAATATCCTCTTCCCTATTTAGCAAACCCTGATAATCCTGTGATCCTCTGTCCTCAGTAGTTGGATTAATATGATGCTGTATTGTATTTGCATTTGTCTTCCCTAGACCGTGCTTGAGATGCCATTTATCATCTTGCTTGAGGAATATATTAACTGAACTTTCAATTTCTCTGTAATTTCGCTTAAAGGTGAAATGTGTGAAGTTATCGTTTCTTGATGAAGAAAATCACTCGTTAGAAATGCAGCAGTCTTGTTTTTTATACCGTTAGGTGAATAAAGTTTAGCTATGGTTAGAATCGTTTCTTTCTCATCTGTGCCTTGCTTCTCCTTTGAAGATGAAGAAAACTTATGTTTTTCTTTTAATTATTCAATTTCAAAAATTAAAAAGTCTCAGCCTGAAGAATGCAGTATTTTTATTTACTGATTTTTTCAAAGAAGGGACAGATGAGGGAAACCCTAAAACGTTACATTCTGAACCTTGAAAATGTTTCATGGAAAACAGACCTTTTTTCACGATTTCTATGCCAGTAGATAATAGACGAGAAGAACTTTATTGCACTGTCATTTCATGTACTAATGTGATAAATTCCAGTTGTTTTAGAGTTTTATTGGAAGAGGTAATGGGGACATCGAGTCAGGAGCTCAGGAGGAGTAGCACAATGTGTTTTCCCTGTTCTTAGCCTTTTTATATCACCAGTCCCCTGAGGATCTCAGAATTCTAATTTTAACTGTTCTGAAAGGTGGTAAATGAGTGATTGCAATGTAGCTAACAGAAGCCAGGGGGACTTCTCGGTAAATATAGTTTTAAAAAGGAATGGTGTCAAAGTATTCAAGGCCAGGTAAGATTAAAAAAAAAAAAAAAAAGCCTTTAAAAAAAAGACCTGCCTATCTTTTGTTTGTTTGTTTCAAATCTATTCAGTCTCTTCCCCAAGTCTATTTGTCTTTCTGTCTTAAACTAAACCTTCCATTGTATCGCTGGAAAAAACTGAGGCATAGAGAGGTTAATGTGGTTCTTAGCAAGTCAGTACAAATATGGTACTAGAAGTGGTAAACAAAGGAATTCTTAATAATTATGCATATTTGCAAATCATTGTTCAAAGACTCAATTGTTGAGAATTATTTCGCAGAATTGTTATTGGATCTTAGTGAACAGACTGGTTTGAATTATTGCCTGGTGCAATGCAGATAAAAAATATAACCATTTTATTTAGTTGTAAGACTCAGTTTGAAGGAATTTCCGCTTGGGCTGGGAGATTAGATTATATGCCCTTTAAACTCTGGGATTCTTTGACTCTTGTAACCATGCCTCATTGGAACAAGATTGTCAGCTGTAGGACAGAACAAATCACTATCTTATAAAATTTTGTCTTTATGCTTGTGGGTAGAAAGCATCATGGTTTACTTCCACCCATAAAAAAAATAATAATAAAAGCAAGAATCAGAAATATTAGATTACTAGTCAGAAATACCCTGGTTAAATTTTGATGCTTTTTGCTTCAATGAGTGACATTTACAATTCCCTAACTTCTCTATTGTATCAGATTCTTCATTTGAAAAACATAGATAATCTATACCATGCACCTAGCCCGTAGGGTCTTCTGAAAGTTAGATGATGGTGGAGTATTTTGAATGATGAAGCCTTTCACCCGTGAACTCAAGTAGATAAAGTCTTAAACAGAGAGCCCAGATACAATGTTATAAACCGTTTTTCTTTCTTTTTTTTTTTTGTGTGTGTGTGTAGCGCCTTTAAATCTTGCATTAACTTGGGTGGATAGTGCTACTTAGTTCAACAACTGTCATCTAGTGTCTGTCTAATAAGTGCCAGGCATTGTGGGAGACAGAAGCTATAGTAGGGACTATACTTACTGTGAGCAAGCTCACTCTAGTAAAGGAGAAAAATACAAAAATCAATTAACCTATCGTCCAGTATGATGAGTGCTATACTCTAGGTGTATATAAAGGGCTTTAGGAACACGAGTTGGGGAGTAGTTCATACTCCCAGGAGATTTGAAGTGACTGCTAAGCTGGATTAACAGGAGGGCAGGAATAAGCCATGCTATTTATTAAGTTGCTGAATTTACTAACCTACATCTGCCAAAACTTAGGAGGGGGAAACAAATGAAATAAATGACATTAAAGTGGAAAATAAGAATAATTAAACCCTCTACAACCAAGAACTTTGTTCAGGGAGGAGAAGACATTCTGATGTCCAATAATATCAAAGTCGGTAACCCCAAAGTAATCTCTCTTCTTCATGGTTGTTCAAGGGCTTACTCTCAATTTTGCGTAAATTGAAAAGTGCACCAGACCAGGAGGTGAGAATCCTTCTCCTGGGCTTGGATAATGCTGGCAAGACTACTCTGCTGAAGCAGCTTGCATCTGAAGATATCAGCCACATCACACCTACACAGGTGAGCACTGCCTTGGCCCCAGGTGCTTGTGTGACCTATGGAAGATGAAAATGGCAGTATGAAAGACGAAATGAGAAATAGAGTTTTGTCCACTTCTAAGTTTTGTTACTGAGAAAAGTCTCTACAATTTAAAAATAATCTAAGATTTCAAAAATATATCGAGATTCCTTTCGTATAAGATACTTAGAGTGGTCAAATTCAGAGACAGGAAGTAGAATCGTGGATTCCAGTGGCTAGAGAGAGGGGGGAATGGGGAGTTTTTGTTTAATGGGCGTAAATAGTCAGTGTTGCAAGATGAAAAACGTCCTATGGGTGAATAGTGGTGATGGTTGCACAACAGTACGAATGTACTTAATGCCACTGACTATACTTAAAAATGGTTCAAATGGTGGGGCTGGCCCAGTGGCTCCGCAGTTAAGTGTGCACGTTCCACTTCAGTGGCCTGGGGTTTACCACTTCAGATCCTGGGTGTGGACCTATGCACCGCTTGTCAGGCCATGCTGTGGTAGGCATCCCACATACAAAGCAGAGGAAGATGGGCACGGATGTTAGCTCAGGGCCAGTCTTCCTCAGCAAAAAGAGGAGGATGGGCAGCAGATGTTAGTTCAGGGCTAATCCTCCTCAAAAAAAAAAAGGTTAAAAGGGTGAATTTTATGTTACTTTTTTTTTTTTTGAGGAAGATTAGCCCTGAGCTAACATCTGCTGCCCATCCTCCTCTTTTTGCTGAGGAAGACTGGCCCTGAGCTAACATCCGTGCCCATCTTCCTCTGCTTTGTATGTGGGATGCCTACCACAACACGGCTTGCCAAGCAGTGCCATGTCCGCACCTGGGATCCAAACTGGCGAACCCCAGGCCGCCGGAGCAGAATGTGCAAACTTAACCACTGTGCCGCCGGGCTGGCCCCTATGTTACATATTTTTACAACAATTTTTTAAATAAATAATTTAAATAAACGTGTGTGTGTATATATATGTCAAGACACAAATAGTTCCCTCAGATCTAAATGATTACTTTAAAAAATAGCTTTATCTTCTCTGATTATTAAATTAATACATGTAGAAAATACAGAGAATGTATAAAGGAATAAAACAAAGAGTACTGTGAGAAAAATCACTGTTAATATTTTAGTGTGTATTTTTCAGGCTTAATAAATAGAAATATATATCAATTTTTAAAATAAAAAGAATTACCTATATTTTTTAATCCAGCCTCATCAACCCTCCTCCTTCCTAAGGCTAAGCGAGCAAAACACAAAGGATGAGGCAGTGGTGGTGCTCGCTGTGTGGACGTCGAAAGACAAGTCCCATTGGAAGAACTGTACTAGGCTTCTTTTCTTTAGACTTCCTTCGCTGTAGGAAATCCTGAGGAAACTTGACCTTTAGCCAAGCCGTTGGGTTTCCTAACCCGGGACAGCTCTGTGGGTCTTAGTCACTTTAAAGGATGTGAGCATTAGAGATTTTAGCAAACCTGGGTTATTTAGCATTTTCTGCCACGTAGTGAGATAAGAGCTTGGTGTCAGATTTGAATGGCTGTGCCGATGTGTGTACTTCACAGCCTACGGAGCCGTCCTGATTTGCAAGTCTTTGCAGACAAGTCATTTCAACTGCTACCAAATGAGCAATTTTACAGCTTCCGAACAAATTTAATGTATCGCCTAAGGAGGAGCAAATTACAGTAGTCTAGCCTAGAAGGGCTGAAAACATATATTAGTGTGTCAGGATTTCTGCCAGAAAAAGGACTAGGGTTTTTTTTTAGTATTAGCGATAGGCTATATCTCTCCAGAGCACCACTAAAATGTGGACTTCTACACGGTGAACATGGAAATGAGCTCAAAGTTATGGACCTAAAGTTGCAATTCTAACTTCCAGGCTTTGTTTGATGTGTTATAGGTGATTCTGTTATTATGTTATGTCAAGGTTTGATATTTATTCTTTAAAAACAAACTTTTATTGTGGTTTTGTTTTGTTTTATTTTGTTTTATTTTTTTCGTGAGGAAGTTTGGCCCTGAGGTAACGTGTTGCCAACCTTCCTCTTTTTGCTTGAGGAAGACTGTCGCTGAGCTGACATCTGTGCCAGTCTTCCTCTATTTTGTATGTGGGACACCACTACAGTGTGTCTTGACAAGCAATGTATAGGGCCGTACCTGGGATCCAGACCTGCAAACCCTGGGTCGCCAAAGTGGAGCGCTCCAACTTAACCACTATACCACCAGGCCTGCCCCTGCGGTTTTGTTTTATATTAGAAAACATAAGAGATGCTCATTGTAGTAAATATAGAAAGTATATATAGGGGCTGGCCTGGTGGCATAGTCGTTAAGTTGACATGCTCCACTTTGGTGGCCCAGGGTTTGCAGTTTTGGATCCCAGGTGTGGACCTAGCCCAGGTCATCAAGCTCTGCTGTGGCAGCATCCCACATATAAAATAGAGGAAGATTGGCACAGATGTTAGCTCAGGGCCAGTCTTCCTCAGGCAAAAAGAGGAAGATTGACAACAGATGTTAGCTTAGGGCCAATCTTCCTCACCAAAAAAAAAAGGAAAGAAAGAAAGTATAAATAAATAAAATTGAGAAACTGGAAGTCCCCTATAATGTCCAGTCATAGATAACCACTGTTAATATATAGGAATGTAACCATTCATTTTTTTCTATGCATATATATGATAGGTTTATTTAAAATAAAAAATAAAAATGGTTCATAGAGAATATGCTGTTTTATAGCGTCTTTTTCACTTGATAATGTATCTTAAACATCTTTCTACATTGTTATATATGTAAATATTTATGCAATACACATCTCTAAATGTTTGTACCCATTCATTAGTATTTTCTTAGAATAATTTCTTAGTAGCTTTGTTGGGTCTGATGACTTACAGAATCTTAAGGCAGTTGATACATGTGGTCAAATTCCAGCATTTACTCTTATTTATTTCCCCCTTCATTCCAGAAGGATTTGATATTCCTGGATTTGGTATTTAGTGTTGTAGTTAAGTGTAGAATTTTTAAGTACACAAAAGTAGTTTTGTCAATGAGTCAGAAGGAAGCTGCCTTTTACAATAAGCTTAAGCCACTTCCCTTTAGGGTTCTTAAACTCCTAATTTATTCCGTCGTTGGCATTTTAGGGCAGCTGTCGTCAGCATCGCCCCCGGTTATCCTCCAGTGACTGTTTATCCTCAGTGGAAGTTGGGTGGCGTGTCCCTGTACCGTTGCACTGTGCCTTGTGCTTCTGCGCCAGGCAGTAGTCTTGGCAAGCCGCCAGAGGAGGCAAATGTTTATGGCGGCATCCCCAGGCCCACTTAACTCCACTTATTCTGGATGAAATGTCACTTCTGTGGTGGCAAGCTGTTGACTGGATTTTTTCAAATCCTGATTTCGCTATATCATTCTTGCAGGAAAGTTTTTTTTTTTTTGGATTCTTCCTCATGAAGTGCCTTCTCTCCAAACCCCAACGGTCTTGTTGGTCTGTCTCTCTGCGCACCAACTCCCAGGTCACAATTCTGCCTCCCCTGATTTACCTACCTTCTTCAAAGTTCCACCTGGAGTAACTATGCTGAAAATGAGTACTCTCTTTGCAAGTTCATCAGACGTGCATTGGAAAGAAAAGAACCGTTTCACATGCCCACTTGTCTGTTTTCATCACTGCCTGTGGCCGCCGGTTCCGCTTCAGCGCTTGACCACGCTGAACCGGCAGGCCGACCTTCCTCACTGGACGGTGCTCCCGTTACAGACCAGCTCCCGCATGGCGTCCTGAGCCCAGCTCTTCCCTTTGCCTGATTATTCCACGTGAGGCAATTTCTTTAATTTTGAGCTGCTCTTCAGGAACCCAGTGTTCCCGATTGTGGCGCTTTCTCTTTTTAAACTTAGCGTTTGTTGTGTTCTGTTGAGTCCTCAGATTTAGCTTTGGTTTTTTTTGTTAGTTACATGCAATATTCTGTTAAATTTTACCATCCTGAGAACTCATCAGAGGGTGTGGTCTGTGTTCATCCTTGGAGCTGTTCTCATACCATGTTGTCCTCGGCAGTTTTGTGTGTGTGTGTTTGTGTGTGCGCACTCACAATAGAAAGGGTCATGTCAGCCGTGACATTATTAACGCTGACTCCACAACCTGAATGAAGTAAGCACATATAAATACATTTCTTTCTTCTCTATCGGAGCAAACTGTTTTCAGTATTACTAGGGTCTCCTCTGGCAGAGTACCTCATAATTAATGAGTAACATAGCTGTTAAATGTAACCATCAGAATTATGCTCTCAAAGCTTAATAAAATGATATTTTTGTCTCTTTCTGTTTCAGGGTTTTAACATCAAAAGTGTGCAATCACAAGGTTTTAAACTGAATGTCTGGGACATTGGTGGACAGAGGAAAATCAGACCATACTGGAGGAATTATTTTGAAAATACCGATATTCTCGTAAGTACTCCTTCTACGGCACTAATTTGATTCAGAGTCTTTTCTGCCGTGCGTTAGGAACATTAACACTGTAATGTTCTTTCCTGTCCGTAATTCCATTGCTATAACATTGACCACTGTGACCTTAAGGCTAGCAGAAGGCTGCAGATCATGAGGGAGAAAGATCTTTGTATAACTTCGCGTAACGCACCCACCTTGGCAAATAAGGTATTTATTAATTACCACAGTGATTTGAACAGCAGAAGGGAAGTCAGAAGATCATGCCACTGACTCCGTCATCCCAAGGAAATCAACAAGTCAAGCGTATCCCAAAGAGAGCAACCAAGATAGTGAAAGTCCTGGAAACAGTGATGAATAAGGAATGGTGGAGAGACCTGACGTTGTCCTTTCTGGAAAAGAAAACACTTGGAACTGTCTTTGATTTTTCAAGAACTGTCTTGGGGCTGGCTCCGTGGCCGAGTGGTTAAGTTCCCGCGCTCCTCTGCGTCCGCCCGGGGTTCGGATCCTGGGCGCGGACATGGCACTGCTCGTCAGGCCCCGTTGAGGCGGCATCCCACATCCCACAGCTAGAAGGACGTGCAACTAAGATATACAACTGTGTACAGGGGTTGGTTGGGGAGATAAAAGTAGAAAAAAAAAAAAGATTGGCAACAGTTGTTAGCTTCATCATGAATTGTTCTAGAGGACTGTGCAAGGAGCAGTTGGAGAGTATTAGGTGATAGAGTTTAACTCAGAATAAAGAAGCTTCCTATAACTGTAGCATCTGGGATTAGAAGAAGCTGCCTCATGCATTGGGCACTCCCTGGCTCAGGTGGCGTCCATTCAGGCAGAAGCTGAGATTTTAGCTCCCGGCTCTCTGTCACGTTCTCTAGAACCACTGAGTCAGAATTCTTGGAGATTTCACCGTCCGCAGACATGATTTCTCTAATACCTCAGCCTCTCGGTTCCTTCCTCTTCCCTCCAGTGATCTTGTCATCCACCCTACCTCAGCCACTCACTCTCATGATCAGACCCTAAAAGCAGGGGGGTCTCATGAACTTGGATAGGAAAAAAAAATTGCATATTATTTTCACTAACCTCTAACTGAAAGTTGACATTTACTTCAGTTATGACCATAGACATTTCACCGCAATAATATCAGCCGTGTCCGTGTCTTCGTTACCAGTAGAGATCATCCTGCATCTTGAGTAGCATCCTCTCTGCTGCTTCCTCTGTCTCTTTCTGTTGGATCGTTCCTATCGGCAACGCACACATCCTGTGGTTGCTCTTGTTTAAAAACAAAAAACTCTTGTCCTGACTTTATGTGCCCCTCTAGACACTGTCCCGTTCCTCAGCCTCTCTTTACAACAAAACTCCTTAGAAGAGTTTCCTGCGCTCTCTGTCTCTATTTCCTCTCCTCCTGGACACTCAGAACCCTCCGTTCAGTCTCACCAGGAATTCCACATGGCTCAGTCCAGTGTTCGGTTTTCAGTGCTCATCTTACTCAACCCATCAGCACATTCAACAAAGTTGGTCCTGGATCCGTGAAACGTTATCTTTCCTTGGCCTCAGGAATACCATTCCGTCTTGGTTTTCCTCCTGTCTCACTGACTACTCCTCAGTCTCCGTTGCTATATTTTTCTGTGTCTCCCAAACTCCAGATGTTGGAGGCCTGTGCTTTTCTTCTCTAAGTCGCTGCTTAGGTGACCTCTTCTAATTTCAGGGTGTTAGTCACCACCGACATGCTGGTGAACCCCACACTGTTCTCTCCAGCCTGGGACTCAGTTTCACAGAAAGCCAGTTGCATGTATCTGACATCTCCACTTCAGGGGCTAGTAAGTCGCCTCACCTCAGCGTGTCCAAACCCAGATTCCTATGTTCGTCCACCCCTGCCCCAGCCTCTTCCTCCTACAGCCTTCTCAGTAAATGACAGTTCCATTCCTCCCAGAGCACTGGGGTCATTCTTGGCTCCTTCCCTCTCATTCCCCTCATCTGATCCATCAGCTAATCCTGTCAATTCGACCTTCAAAATATTTCTAGACTCTGACCACTTCTCTCCACCTCTGCTGCTGCCGTGCACTGAGAATTGCAGCATCCTTTTAACGAGTCCCCTTACTTCTTCCTCGCCTCCCTGAAGACTCTTCTCAACACTGTAGCTATGGTGATCCTATTAAAACACAGGCTTCCTGTCTCAGAATAAAAGCCAAGGTCCTTCCAGTGGCCTACGAGGCCTCCCACCTTCTGGGATCTCTTTCCTGTCTGACTTACCCTCCCCTCCTAACTTGGTGCCAGCCACACTGGCCTTCTTGCCGTTCCTGGAACACGCGTGCTCCCCACCTCGGGGGCCTTTGTTGTTGCTATTTCCAATGCTAGAATTCTTTTTCCTTAGATATCCTTGTGGCTTATTCCTTCACTTCCTTCAACTCTTTGCCCATATGTCACCTTATCACTGAGACCTTCCCTGATTACTGTATTTAAAATTGTGATGCCTGTCTCCACCCTTCTGGCACTACGATTTTTCCTTGCTTTTTTTTTTCTTTTTTCCCTCCATCAGATCTATCAGTACCTATCACTGGAATGTAAGTTCTGTGAAGGCAGGAATTTTGCTTTTTTTTTTTTCCCAACTGATGCATCCCCAGTACTTAGAAAAGTACTGAATGAATGAAATGGATAATTCTTATAGATGGATCCTGACATTAGATAGAATGTGGAGTTCTATAACTTCTAAATTCACTTCCAACTCTAAGGTTCTGTGATCCTGTATCATTGTGGTCAAGTCCAGGGGCTTGTTAATTCCTTCTATAAAATGGATAAAGCATGTCCCTCACAGAGGGTTTATGAGAAGTAGTGAATTCATTCACTCACTATGATTTTTTTTTTTTTTTTTTTTTTTTTGGTGAGGAAGACTGGCCCTGAGCTAACATCTGTTACCAATCTTCCTCTTTTTGCTTGAGGAAGATTGTCACTGAGCTAACATCTGTGGCAGTCTTCCTCCATTTTGTTTATGGAACACTGCCACAGCATGGCTTGATGAGCAGTGTATAGGTCTGCTCCCAGGATCCACACCCACGAACCCCAGGCCGCCAAAGTGGAGCACACGTACTTAACCACTACACCAGTGGGCTGGCCTCTCTCACTCACCATGATTCTTAAATGGAGAATAATACCAAAATGTAAAATTGTACTGTCATCAAATCAGTAAATACATTTGAGGTACTGAGATGGGCATCACACAGGCTTGTCATATTTCCAGCCCTTGGTGAAGGTAAGTTCCAGTAGCTTCCTGGTGCCAGGTTAAAAGTTTAAATGGATGAGAAGAAAAAGATGAGACAGATGCATCCATCCGTCTATCCATCTATTCAACTAGTTATTCTTCCACAATGTCTTATATACCTTGTAGGAGAATAGAAGAGAGAGCTGGGGGGAAAAGAAAAATTTTCCCTTTAAGACAGAAAGAAGGTTCTTTCTGTAATCTGAAATAATGTGTCCATTCTTGAAGTATAATTTTTTAATTTTAGAAATTTTCCAATTTATGCAAAGGTCAAGAAAATAGATCAAGAAAAAGAAAAAGGTCAAGAAATATAATGAAACTCCAGATACCTACCCATCACCCAGGTTCCTTAATTTCAGTTTTGGCAATCTTCTTTCATCTCCTCTACCACTCCTTTTTTTTTTTTTTTTTTAAGTATTTTAAAGCAAATCCAAGCCATCGTATTATTTCATTCATAATTACTTGAAATGTATATTTGAAAGATCAGTCTCTAAATTGTGATATGAAACTACATATTAGAAAAACTGACCATTTAAAATCAGTTTCAAATCCCAAAAATTAACAAGAAGCTCCTGGAACTAAGTGATTATAGCAGGTTTGCAGGATATAAGGTTAGTATAGAAAAGTCAATTGTTTACCAGCAATGAACAATTGGAATTTGAAATGAAAAGCAAAATACCATTTTCATTAGCACCCCCCGAAAAAAGAAATACTTAGGCATAAATTTAAGAAAATAAATAGAGAATTTATATGAGGAAAACTACAAAACTAATAAGAGAAATCAAAGAAGATCTAAACAGATGAGGAAATATTCCATATTCATGGATTGGAAGACTTACTATTCTTTTTATTGAGGAAGATGAGCCCTGAGCTAACATCTGCCGCCGATCCTCCTTTTTTTGCTGAGGAAGACTGGCCCTGAGCCATGGCCGTCTTCCTCTACTTTATATGTGGGATGCCTACCACAGCATGGCTTGCCAAGCAGTGCCATGTCCGCACCCGGGATCCAAACAGCAAACCCCAGGCCGTCGAAGCAGAACATGCGCGCTTAACCGCTGCGCCGCCGGGCCGGCCCCTGGAAGATTTAATATTCTTAAGATGTCAATTCTGCCCAACTTGATCTATAGATTATATAGATCAGCTATTGCTTCAATGCAATTCTAATCAAAATCTCAGTGAGTTATCTTATGGATATTGACAAACTGATTCTAAAGTTTATATGGAAAGGCAAAAGATCCAGAATAGCCAACACAATGCTAAAGAACAGAATCGGAGAACCAGCACCACTGGACTTCAGGACTTTTCATAAAGCCACAGTAATCAAGACAGCATGTGTCGGAGAAGGAAGAGACAAATCGATCAACGGAGCTAGATAGACAGCCCAGAAATAGACCCACAGGAATATTGCCAACTGATCTTCGACAAAGGGGCAAGGCAGTTCAACAGAGGAAGGATAATCTTTTCAGCAAATGGTGCTGGAACAATGGGACATCCATATGCAAAAAAAAATGTAGACACAGTCTTACCCCTTTCACAAACATTAACTCAAAATGGATCTTAGACCTAAATATGAAACGTAAAACTATAAAGTTTCTAAAAGATAATAGAGGAGAAAAATCTAGGTGACCTTGGGTTTGGCAATGAGATTTTAGATACAACACCAAAAGCACAATCCATGGAAGAAAAAATTATAATTTAGACTTTATTAGAATTTCAAACTTCTGCCCTGAGAATGACACTGTTAAAAAAA